GACGTGACGTCTCCGTTCCCTCCTTCAGGGAACGAGGGTTACCATACGTAACCGAGACGTTCTGGGGCCTCATTTATAAAGATGCGCATATCATTTTCTGAAATTCTGTACGAGCGATTAATAAAACCAAAAAAACAATGCACACAAAAAATGTTTCTAAATGCATTCATCTTTATAAATCTCAGTTCATTTTAAATACAAGCACAATGTGATTGAATCGAACACATCAACCTACAGAACGGACACAAATATGACTTTATGGTTCAGAAGAAGTACACCATTCATCAACATGAACAAGAAAATCCAAATGTGTTCATATTCAGGAAATTATTAATACCTGTGATGTAATTTTCACAAAGCATAATATTAATGAATATTGTGATTGTCTATTTTGACCTTTTTTTTTATCTTAACTATTTCATAAACAATGTTGAATTATTTTGATGGTATATATGTGTACAAAGGTTTGTATGAATGCTCTTTTGTACAGATAAAAATATTTTCACATCATTTCACATCATTTATTTCTTTGAAAATCCCAATTTGTTCCTCACTTTTAGGATGAATCCTCCATCATTTAGGATTCGATCATACATGCATTTTAAAAATTAAGCTTGTGACCTTTTCAAATTCAAAAAGACAAAAATGAGTCAAAGACATAAAGATAAAATATTGTTTTATTTGCTAACTGAATTTGGATTAAATAATTTCCAGTATAGTTGAAACAGCTTTTAAGTTTTTAATCTTCAGCCATTTGTGCTTTTATTGTGACTTCTGTAAACATTAATCAGATTAATATTAATCTAATAAATCTCCAAACAAAACCACCAGACCATCATTAAACACCTCAAAATCTGAACATTTAACTCTTAAATTCACAAAAGAATACTGAAAGACTGACAGCCAAACACGAGCGCAGTAATTTTACAAGACTTACACACAAAATAATTTATTATAAGCGATAAATAGGAATATCAGCTCAGTTTTTAGTCTTGTGTCAAACTGGTTTACGTGTACGTGTATGAAGAGTATTTACATAAAGAGACACTTTGCATGTGAGTGTTTATAGTGCTGTGAGTTTAACACTTCATGACTGAGAGCAGAACACAACACAATCTTCATCATCACACAAGACACAACAACAACAATGAACAACATCATCATCCTCATCTGGACACTCACACTGTTTGCTCAAGGTTTGTGCAGTAACATTTATTTTTTATAATTACCATTAAATATATAACGTGTCAGAAATGCTAATAATCTGTTTAATCTTCATTTTATTCTTGTTTCTTTCAGAGTGTAGAGGACAGTACACTGTAACTCAGAGTCCATCAATAACATCAACACAAGGACAAGACATCAGAATAAACTGTAAAACCAGCAGTTCAGTGTTTGGTAATTACTTAAAATGGTATTTACAGAAACCTGGAGAAGCTCCTAAACTTCTCATATATCAGATATCAAACCGTTACACTGGAACTCCATCTAGATTCAGTGGCAGTGGCTCTGTCAGTGATTTCACTCTCACCATCAGTGGAGTCCAGACTGAAGATACAGGAGATTATTACTGTATGAGTTTACACTGTCCTAGTAGCTGTGTGTTCACACAGTGATAAAGAGTCGTACAAAAACCTCCATCAGTCAGAGTCACAGTGACTGCACTGATACAGCTGAGAGACACTGCAGCTGCTCTACAACACAATCACACACAACACTGATCAACACAAACACTAATAACACAGTATCATTAAAATCAGCATCAATCTTGCATTTGCACAGCCAGACATAAACAAATTTAGTGAAAGTGAATTGAATTGACATATGGCTAAGTATGGTGTCCCATACTCAGAATTTGTGCTCTGCATTTAACCCATCCAAGTGCACACGCACAGCAGTGAACACACACCGTAAACACACTCCAACAAAGTTGGGGGTTTGGTGCCTTGCTCGAGGGTCTCACCTCAGTCGTGGTATTGAAGGTGGAAGAGAGTGCTGGTATTCACTCCAAAATCAAAATGGCTTTATAATTGAGACTCTTTAGGTTTTTGGGGGATTCAAAAAAAAGGAGTGAATTTTTATCATTGTAGGGTGGTTGTGTGCACACACTGCTAAGATATATTTATATGCAAATGAAGATATTTTGCATCCAATGTCTCCTTTAAAATAAAAATATTATAATCTTAATTCAAGTGATGAAGGATTTCGAAAGTCTGACAGTTATCAGTGTTGAGCACATATTGTAAGTTTAACCCTGCCTGGTTTACATGTTTGAAAATGATTAACAGTTGAAAACATTAAAAATTTAGATAAGTAATCCAAAAGTAATCAAATG